GTTAAAGCAGATAGCTACGCTTAAGATGAAATGTCCTCATCTTCAAGGATAGTATGGATACCCAGCCACATGTGAGAAACCCTGGCATAATTCTTGAGCAGTCTTTTTTGCTATTTAAGTAGTGCTTGATTTACTCCCCTACCCAGCCCCACGTGATGGCCGGCAAAGTCATTGTAAGTCTCATTGTAAGTTCATACAATTTGAACTTCATCCCCTTGAAAATTATTGAGATAGGTGGAAGGTTTGTACTTTTACTTTCTTTGCCTAAAATTCCACCCAGGAAAACTATCTCAGATGTAAATGTCATCTAGTACTAAGCTATTTGTTCCTGTCTTCCCTACCCTGGATTGTCTGCCCTCCCCTGGACTTCATCCTGCCTTTAGTGAAGTGCTGTGGTGTGAGTTTTTCCGCCTTGGCTAGGTTTTATTTGCAACTGCGTGTGTTTTTATATGATTGCTTACACTGTGTGGATATAAATTACTTTTTGGAATAATCAGTGAAAGTAATGATCTTTTTAAAAAGAACTCATACAAATACAGATTTGTAGTTCCATAAACTTTGTGAATACCCCCAAAGATACCTGTTTATTCTTATTTTGATAATTGAAAATATAATAGATGGTGTGATAAGACTAGCTTCATGAAGTCCTTTTATAAGTACTGTAATAAAATGGTTAATTTGTCCATACATACCCTCCAATTATCTCCTCAATTCCTGGCAACAGCCACAACCCCATCTTTCATTTTTATTGCCTTCCAGTTAATTGCACTAATAGGTTTTGCTTTTCATTTCTGCATGACTTTCACTAGAAAAAGTGGCAAGTGCTAACTCTTGCTGCTTTTTAGTTAGTACATATTTCAGACTTTTTAATCAGAGATGAGCAAAGCAAATGGATTTTTTAAAATTTCATGTGAATATGCTTGCTAGCCTCAAAATTCCAGATGACTACTTCTGACTTTTACTCTTTTAGAAAAGAAGAGGCTTATTTGGGACCAATAAATTCTGCCAGGTAAGGAATATTGGTAGCTAGAGCTTTGTGGTAGTTTGTTGTGTTGTTTTTTTTTTCTCTAGAAAAGCTTTTTTTAGTACTGTTTACCAGTGAATCAAGCTTCTCAATTCACAGACAGGTTTCTTGGGCAATGTGAACTAACATGAGCTAATTTAATGAGTATTTAACAAGGCATTTATTCATTTAAAAGTGATGTAAAAATTTTAATAAAGATGTTTGAAAACATTTGTGCTTTTTTAACAATCAAATGTGTATGAAATCCAATTGAATCTTTAAAAATAAGAGTTTGTTGTATAATTGCAGTACCTTAAATAATTTTCCTGAGTATTCTACATAAGGAATGATTATGATATAGATATATAGTATTGACTATACTAAATTGAATCATTTTCATTTATCACATTTTATGATTTATGAGAATGTTTTTATTCAGCCTGATTGTTTTATTCATCTTGAAAATTGGTGATTGAATAAAAAACTTGCCATTGATTTAGTTATACATATCTCTTTATGAAATATGAAATATCTTTGGTTGCTGAGACAGTTAAGAATCCACCTGCAATGCGGGAGATCTGGGTTCAATCCCTGGGTTGGGAAGATCCCCTGGAGGACTGCATGGCAACCCACTCTAGTATTCTTGCCTGGAGAATCCCCAAGGACAGAGGAGCCTGTTGGGCTACAGTCCATGGGGTCACAACGAGTCGAACATGACCGGGACTAAGGACAGACAAATCATTATGATTAGAGAGAAATGAATTTGCATTAGGGGAGGAAAACATTTAAGTTGATATAAATTAACATTATACTTATTATTTTTATCTAAATTTTAAAGTATTTTAGGAATACTACAAGAAAAAATTCAGGATTTTACTACTCTATACTTGTAAAAAAGAAAGATGTAAAAGCCTTTTCTACATTGTTGCTAAGTCTGGATCCTGCTGAAATGACCCAGATATTTGTAGTTACTGCGTGCTAAGTCACTTCAGTTGTGTCTGACTCTTTGCAACCCCATGGACTGTAGCTCGCCGCGCTTCTCTCTCTGTGGGATTTTCCAGGCAAGAATGCTGGAGTGGGTTGCCATTTCCTTCTCCAGGGGATCTTCTCGACTCAGGGATCAAACCTGCATCACTTTTGTCTCCTGCATTGGCAGACAGATTCTTTACTACTAGCACAACCTGGGTAGCCCTTCAGATGGCAAATACTGAAAATATCAGATAGGCAGTGTCTGTTTCAAAATATCGGATGAATTGGCAAGTTTCTTTCTTATACCGTTTAAAGTCTTCTTTCAACTAAATTATGTCCTTCCAAGTGACATATGAATAAGAAATATAATTATAGAATTCTATGATAAACAGGGGAAAAGAAACAAGATTGAGACAGGAAGAAAAAGTGGACCTTTTCTTGAACTATCTATAACAAAATAGAAAATCAAGTGGAAAATAAAGAAAATTTGTTACAAGTGAGAAATATGAAAGAAAATTTTCATGTGATTAGCAGTTAAGCCATTCAAAGGATGAAAAGAAAGCCAGAGTTAATGACAGATACAAAGGAATAGAGTAAAAGGACCGTTTTATGAGGATAAGTAGGATTATGTGTATATCATAGAGAAGTCGATTCTAGCTAAGAATTTCTTGAAGGAACCTCTTTAGTTTGCTTCTCATGAAGCAGATGGGTGGGAACTCACCTGCCTTTATATGGGGGTGCTTAGCCAAAACTCGCTTTTCAGGAAGAGAGCACTCAGCCTTGGGAACATAAACAGTATTTTCAGGTTAATAGGGTATAAATATGAGATTTGAGTAGAATGCATTTGTATTAGGAGTTACTTGAAAAATTATGTAGGCAGCTAACAGTTTCAAAAATTGAAAGGGAATGTTTATATCCAAGGTTATATTGGAACTCTCAACAGATATCTTGGTTTACTAAAAATTTGGAACTAGGTTTTCGTAGCTGTATCTTTTGTCTATGTTTCTATATTGAAGTATGAGAACCACTAGGATGTGCAGATTTATTTTAGATGATGGAAGTTTTAATTTTTAACTTTCAATATATTTTTTGAAGTGAAGCTATGATTTCATAAGTACCATTGTCGCATTCTTAAAAAGTCTATTTTAATATTAAAAGTGTTAGAATAATAATAATAATATATACAGTAGTATAGGCATATTACAAAAATGAAAGTACAGAAAATGTGTTTAGGAAATATTCATATTGTTTTATTCTAGATAGTTCACATGTCACTTGATGTATTTTTTAGAACCTTACAACAGAAAATATCTCAATAAAATGCTCTGATTTTTTTAACTTTGCAAAATAGTGTAAAGTTTTCCATCCTGCCAATATAGTTTGGCTGTTTTATTTTTAAGCCTGTCTAAACTATTTTGCCATCTCTAGTAACAATCAGAAAGTTACAGGTTCATGATTTGCAAATTGATGAAACTTAAGTTTTTACACTGTGAGTATACTAAGGAAGTGGACTAGGGTTTAATTTTCTGATATCTTGAGATTTTTGCCCATAGAGGTTTTTTTTTAATTCTTATTAAATGAATTTTAATACAATCAGTTACAACCTTGAGCAAAACAGATCCCCAGATTTTCCAGTAATGATATTTTATATTAAATAGTTAAGCATAATATTCTTAACAGTTTTTTTTCCTCTTTCACTTTTTAAGTTACCATAAATAAAATTGACTTTTGGAGAATGCCCACAGTCCTGTAAATTTCCATACATGTATAAGTTTGTGTAACCATCACTTCAGTCAAGGTATAAAATAATTCTATTACCCCAGAAAACTCTGTTTGAATTTCTAAGTGTTCCGAACGATATAACTTGTCTTTATAGTAGGAATACATTGTCCTAAACTTGCAGCAAAAAAAAAAAAAAAACTACTTTGCTGTACTGTTCAATAAATCTGTGTTCCACTGTCCTTTCTAATGAATTTAAGTTCTTCTAATTGCTAATTGTACACTTGGTTGATTTATGCTTCTCATCAGGGATAGCATTCATTTTTCCTTTCTACCAAATATCATCAACTAATCCAGTCCTAAGCTCTAACCTCTGGAGATTTCCTAGATGATGGTATCAGTAGATCTGTCTTTGTTCACATTACATCTGTTGATAAGTTATGCTTTGTTCATCATCCGCATTGTTTTTTGAACTGCCAGTTGTCTGACGTTAATGCTGGATTATTATCTGGAGTACACAGGAGAATCACTGCTGCATTTCTTTTTATAGGCTCTGCAGATAATGTTCTTTATTTTTGCAAGTATCTTCATGGCTTTGTGCCATGCTTTTTCTACACTATCATTGTATATTTCTCTGTCTATGTATGGTACATGCAAACCAAAGAGAGGAAAGTCACAGGCTATAAGTCAAAACTTTACTGGAATATTTAAACAAGGGTTGCATATTAACCATTCTGTTATGGACATTTGAGTAGCATGCATTTCCAGTAAAATGAATATCTAGAGTCCATAAACAATAATAAATTATTTTAAAATAAAGATAAACATTTGTCTAACTGTACTATAAGTCTATCATTTATGACTTTGCCACAGATAGAAAATTAAGAAATTTAACTATATCTGTAACAGTCATCACTGAGGTCATTTCAGACCATCTTAAGTATTATTACCTCACACAGAGAAAACATTAACAAGTTCATTTTAACCCTGATATTTGGATCTTGAGTTTTCTTGTTCTATGAATCTTTTAAGGTTTTTCAAGGTTTCTTACATAAATACAAGATATCTTAAAATGTTGTGATTCTCCTGTGATTGTTTTGTGTGTGTTTTGATTTGAAAATTTTTTGTTTGTTTGTTTTTAACTCTTGGAAATAAGTATATTACTAATGAATGAGATTGTTTATGATCCTTGTTTGGGAACTAAAAGTTAAAAACCTTACGGAATAACACAGCCAGCTACTTTTACTTGTATACACTGTTGTCTGTCCTTTGAAGCTATAAATTGACTGTTTTGTCATTTGCTCCTCAGATGGATCCTGTGCAAAAAGCAGTCATTAACCACACATTTGGAGTATCCATTCCCCCAAAGAAGAAACAAGTTATTTCTTGTAATGTCTGTCAGCTTCGCTTTAACTCGGATGTGAGTATCACCTTTTCATTGCTCTCGTAGTCTGTCAGCTTGGAGTCTGATTGTTCTGAACACGTACATCTCTTCATATTACATACTCTCTAGAAGCACATTTATTGTGGGCAATTGGTGGCCCATTTATTTCAGTGTGCTAGATTTTAAAGGGAGTCAGATTCAACATTAGAAACTTGAACCACAGAGTGGCTAATATCAAAAATCAAGGCTTTCTCTATGTAATCAGTCTCATCTGTATCATTTTATACTTAATTCTACCAGTTATATGTACTTTTCAGAAATACATTTGGATAGCAGAAAATATTTTTTAAAAGTTTAAAATGCAATGAAAATATGAAAAAAATGCAATGAATGTTGAAGAAAACCATTCTTATTATTCTTGATAGCAAGTACCACATTTAACTGTGTGTGCCAAATCATATTAAATACCTGAAAGAATAATTTATTGCACAGTTTATATTTTCCTGGAAGATAGAAATACAGGGAAAACTTTGTAAATTATCTTATCTCGCAAGCATAACCATCATGTTTAAAAAAATGATAATAAGGATACAAATTAATATTTTTTGAAAGTCAATTTTAGAATGTAGAAATAAAATAGCAATATCACAATAAATAATATTAGAATGTTTATAATATTCAATTATCAAGTAAAGCCAATGACCAATGCAAATCTGAATCTGGCAACTGTATATTATATGTGGTATTTCCCAAGATATTTTACCATCAAAGTCATTTTGCAAAGAGTATGTTATAACATTCATGAGTTTCAGAAATGCTAAAATAGTAAATACCTTTCTTTGCATATACCAGGAGATGATATTTTCATAATTCTATTTAGGAAACATAATGAAAATTATAGTCATTGGAAAAGAGGAGATATGCTTATCATGACTTATAAAAGTATATTTAATGCAATTTCAACCAAAAATCCAAAGAATTTTTTTGGCACCTGATAAAATCTTTCTCAAATTCCATATTCAAGAATTAAAATGTTCCCAAGTAAACTGAGAGATATATAGTACCAATTCACTAGAAATCTTGGTATTGTTAAGATGTCATTTCTTCCCCGACTGATCCATACACCTAACACAACTTCAATAAAAATCTTAGAAGGCTTTTTTCGTAGAAGATACCAAGACATTTCTTAAATGTAATAGAAAAGCCCTATGATAGTCAAAATGTTTTTTAGGAAAGAACAAAGTTTGAGTACTTATACTTTTTGATTTTAATACTTACTATAAAGCCTATAGTAATCAAGACCATGTTATTGGTGAAAGAGTAGTAGACACATTGATCAATAGAACAAAATAGACCCACACGTGTAGTTAGTTCATCTTCAACAAAGTTGCAGAGCTAGTTCAACGGAGAAAGGTCAGTCTTTGCTACAAATAGTACAATTGGATATCTACATGTAAATTTTTTAAAAAGAATCTTGAGTGCTATTTTCCACAAAATATGAAAATTAATTCAAATAGATCTTATGCATAACTATAAACTTAAAACTATAAAACTTCTAGAAAATAACATAAGAGAAAATTTGTGTGACCTTGAGTTAGACAAAGATTTCTTTGTCTAAAAACATATGAAATAAAAAATAGGAATTATAAAAATGCTCATTATTGGACTTCATCAAAATTAAAAATGTCTCCTCTTCAAATAACACTATTAAACTGTTAAGAAATTGAAAAGAAAAACTGCAGACTGAGAGACAATATTTGTAAGACACATGCCTTGTATGCAGAATATTTAAATAACTTATGATTCAATAATAAATAATAAATGGGCAAAAGATTTACATAGGCACTTTACCATGACAGATAAATATGCAAAACAATTCTCAACATCATTAGCTATTAAGGAAGCAAACCACAATCAGATACCACTATACCTATTAAAATGATAAAAATTAAACCAATTGATATTACCAAATGCAAAAATGAGGACCAACTGGAACTCTCATTAACTGTTGTTGGAAATAAAAGATAGTGCAGATCCTTTGGAAAATAGTTTGATGGCTATTTATAAGAATTTTTATGAAGTGGTAGATATATTTCTCATACAGCCCATCAATCCCACTTCAAGGTATTTATCCAAGAGAAATTAAAACTTTTGCCATATTTATATATCTTTATAGCAGCTTTATTCATAATTGCCCAAAACTGAGATTGATCCTAATGTCTATCAACTGATGATGAAATAAACTGAAATATAGCCCTACAATGGACTCAGCAGTAAAAGAAGTGATATACCAATGCCTCCTACATCATGGGTGAATTTCAAAGGCAGTGTGCTAAATAAAATAAGTTGCACACAAAAACTATTCACTGTATGGTTACACTTATATAACTTTTGCAAAAGACAAAACTGTAGGGACAAAAATCAGACACATAATTAATAGGGACTGAAGTTGGCATTGAGAAATTCATTACCAAGGGACATGAGAGAACTTTTTTGGATGATGGAAATACTCTTAAGTCTTCATTGCTGTTGTAGTTACACAACTGTTTTGTTTTGTTTTTCTCTTCAAAACTCATAGAACTCAATACCTAAAAAGACTTTTACTGTATGTAAAGTATACCTCAGTAAACCTGACTAGGAGAACAAAATCAATGTGATAGGAATCATGAAATATTTTTTAAATTGAAGACTAATTATAGAAACATGCCTACTAGATATATTAAACTACAGCATTGCTACTAGATTTAGGTATAATAATTAAAGGAACTTTTTAAAGAAAAAGCAGAATAATAAATACTGAAAATAGATCCAAGTATATTTAACATTTTTGCCCAATTATTATCCAAATTTATGTAGCCATGTAGGAAAATTAGCATCTTTGTAACTTTATGAATATAAAATGAATATGTTCACTACTTAGCTGGCCACTGACAAAATGAATGCCCAGGTGAAGACATGCTCCATATTTAATTCTAGCATTCCCATTGCAGTGATGCCAGATGTTGAAGCACCTCAAAATACAAAGCAAAGAGATTGTAAAGTAAAATTGCAAAAAGCTTGCAAAAGATGCAGACTTTCATGAAGTCATGATTGTCATGTTGAAGAACTGTTTAATACAAAGTCACTGACAAATGAGGATCTGCCCGTTAGAAGTATTAATTTAACAAGAGAAAAACTAAAAGGTTGATGATAGACAGGCTGCTCAAAGTAAAATGTTTTAACTATCAAGTGAATAATAAGGACTTTTGCAATTATGAATCCCTTGAATTAAAAAAAAAAGAAAACATTTATTTACATGGTCCAAAAAGAAAATTAATTTTAAAAGAATCATTGAAGAATATTTCTCCATCCTATTCCCATCCTCCTAATCCCCATGCCTTTCTCTCTCTGCCTGTCATAACTACATTAATATTTCTTGCCTATCTTTCCTGGGTTTGCTTATACAGATATAACCAAGTATGAATGTATACTCAATCTCCTTCCTCTTCTACATACAAGGTAGTATACTATTTGTGCTTTACTGCTACCTTGCATTTTTTTTTTACATAGCAATATAGCCTAGAGAATTTTCCCTATCAGAACCTAGCAAGCCCCCTCACTGTTTTTTCATAGGTGTGATAGGCAAAGATGTCCACATCCTAGTCTCTGGATTCTTCTACTGTATTACCTTGTAAGGCAAAAGGAAATTAAGGTAGTAAATGGAATTAAGAGCACTAATCAGCTGACCTGAAGATAACTGTCCTGGATTATCCCACAGGCCCAAAGGCCCTTAAAGGTAGAAGAGGGAGGCAAAAGAGAAGGTTAGAGTGACATGATATAAGAACAAGTTGAGTGACCATGGTTTGTTTGAAGGTGAAAAAAGGGACCACATGCCAAGGAATATAGAAAAATTCTAGAAGTGAAAAGTCAAGGAAATTGACTTAGAGCCTCCAAAAGAGAATGCAGTCCTGCTGACACCTTGGTTTCAGCCCAATGAAACCTATGTTGGACTTCCAACCTCAGGAACTGTAAGATAATAAATATGTGTTGTTTAAGCCACTGAGTTTGTGGTAATTTGCTACAACAACAGTAGAATACTGATATAGTAGTCTATGTGTAGAAGTTCCATGGTTTCTTTAACCAGTCCCTTATTGGTGGACACTTAGGTTTTTCTTATCTTTGGAGTTAACATAGATTTTCATAACCAATAAATGACAGATCTTCAAAAGAGACGTGGGTTTGATCCCTGGGTCAGGAAGGTACCCTGAAGAAGAAAATGGCAGCACACTCCAGTTTTCTTGCCTGGAGAATCACATGGACAGAGGAGCCTGGCGGGCTACAGTCCATGGGGTCACAAAGAGCTGGACATGACTGAAGTGATTTAGCACAGCATGCTAGTACATAAATTTGGGTCTCTTGCCTATAAATCCACATCTCTCCCATTATCTTATGTTGCCTTAAAAATTAACTCATTGTCTTAGCACTTACTGTGCTCCTATTTTATTTTATGCCAAGCACTATATATACTAGGGGCTTCCCTGGTAGCTCACCTGGTAAAGAATCCGGCTGTGATTCAGGAGACCCCAGTTTGATTCCCGGGTTGGGAAGACCCCCTGGAGAAGGGATGGGCTGCCCACTCCAGTATTCTTGGGCTTCCCTGCTGGCTCAGATGGTAAAGAATTGCCTGCAATGTGGGAGGCCTGGGTTCAATCCCTGGGTTGGGAAGAATCCCTGGAAGAGGACACGACTACGCACTCCAGTATTCCTACCTGGAGAACGCCCGTGGACAGAGGAGCCTGGTGGGCTACAGTCCATGGGGTCGCAAAGAGCCAGATGTGACTAAGCACAGCACAGCGTACAAACTAGACTCCAGAATCCAGCATCAAGTTTTACCACTAAACAGGGTGTATGAGAGCTTTCAGGGACTAACCTTATTGGATCCTCTCAGAACATGTTCTCAGTTTTCAGCTCTATGTGTTCATTATTCTATGCATAGAAATGCTGCACAGTGTAAAATATGGAATTAACAGTCCTTGAATGAGATTTAACCCCTAACT